GGTCCAGGAAGAAGGGGAATGTCCTCTATGAAATGGATTGGCACAGTGGCTGCAATGATTGCCTCAGGCATAAGAAGTATTGTGAGAATGATGCAAGACCAGGCAGAGTTTTGTGTTATTGTGCCTTGTGTAACTATCAGTGGGTATGAATATATGGCACCTAACCACAACAGAGAAGAGCGGCATCCCGGGACCAGGTGAGGGGAGGGACTAAAGCCCCACCAAAACCAGCCAGGAAAGTGGGGGAAAGAGAAGCCAGAGGGGATGGCAGAGCAGAGCAGCAGCCAGGGAACCAGGTAAATGGAGGGACCCAGGCCCCACCACCAACATCCAGGAAAGTGGGGGAAAGAGAAGCCAGGCTGATCACAGTGTAGAGCAGCACCAGTGATCCAGGCAAAGGGAGGGCAGAGAGTTTTCAAACAGCTAAGCAAGAAAAACTTGTCTGTCAGTTTGTCATATGGCATGTTGCTGTGATGCTTGAGGCTGTGCCACCGATGTTTCAAGAGCCAGAAGGGTTGACCATGGTACACAAGTTTCAATGCAGGTTACAGACCGACACAGACTAGGAAGAAGGAAGGAGCCATCCACTTCTCAAAGAATTGGCCATGGAAAACCTAATGAATAGCAGAGAAACACTGTCTGATACATTACTACACAATTTTATGAATGGCCAGGAAACATTATAAGATATAGTGCAGGAGGATGAGTCCCTTATGTCAGAAGGCTTTCAAAGTATGACTAGGAAAGAGCTGCATCATCAAAGTAGGACCAACCTTACTGATATGGATAAAATAAAATTTTTGAGATCTCCATTTGCTGACATGGCACGACTTAAATTCAGGAAGCAGCTGCAAATATCCATTAAGAGTAGGAACATGGAATGTACAAAATATGAATCTAGGAAAACTGGAAATTGTCAAAAATGAAATGGAACACATAAAGATTGATAACCTAGGCAGTAATGAGCTGAAATGGACAGGTTTTGGCCACTTTGAATCAGATAACCATATGATCTACTATGCCACTAATGACTATTTGAAGAGAGATGGCATGGCATTCATCATTACAAAGGATGGTTCAAGATCTGTCCTGAAGTACAATGCTGTCAGTGATAGGATAATATCCATACACCTACAAGGAAGACAAGTAAATATGATTACTATTCAAATTTATACACCAACCACCAAAGACAAAGCTGAGGAAATTAAAGATTTTACCACCTGCTGAAGTCTGAAATTGACCAAACATACAACCAAGATGGGTTAATTATCACTGGTGACTATAATGCAAAAGTTGGAAACAAAGAAGAATTATCAGTAGTTGGAAAATTTGGTCTTGGTGACAGAAATAATGCTGGAGATTGCATAAGAAAATTTTGCAAGACCAACAAATTATTCATTGCAAATACATTTTAGTTCAACAATACAAACAAAGCTATACAAGTGGACATAGCCAGATGGAATACACAGGGAGCAGATTGACTACATCTGTGGCAAGAGGTGATGGAAAAGCTCAATATTGTTAGCCAAAACAAGTCCAGGAGCTGATTGTGGAACAGACCATCAACTGCTCATATGCAAGTTCAACTTGAAGTTAAAGACAATTAAAACAAGTCCACGAGAGCCAAAATATGATCTAGAATATATCCCTCCTGAATTTAGAGACCATCTAAAGAATAGATTTGATGCATTGAACACCAATGACCAGAAACCAGATAACTTGTGGAATGACATCAAGAGCATCATCCACGAAGAATGCAAGAAGTCACTAAAAATACAACAAAAGAAGAGAAGACCATAATGGATGACCGAAGGGACTCTGAAACTTGCCCTTGAGTAGAGAGTAGCTACAACCAATGGATGAAATGACAAGATAAAAGCTGAAGAGAAGAGTTCAAAGAGCAGCTCGGCAGACAAAGCCAATTACTATAATGAAAGGTGCAAAGACCTGGAAGTAGAACACCAAATGGGAAGAACAGGCATTTTTCAAGCTGAAAGAACTGAGGAAAAAAAATAAGCCTAGAGTTGAAATATTGAACGATTACATGGGCAAAACATAGAATGATGCATGCAACCTCAAAAGAAGATGGAAGGATTGCACAGTCACTGTACCAAAAAGAACTGGTCGATCTTTATCCATTTCAGGAGGTGGAAAACGATCAAGAACCAATGGTATTGAAGGAAGAAGTGGAAGCTGCACTGAAGGAATTGGTGAAGAACAAGGGCCTGGAAATTGACGGGATACACACTGAGACGTTTCAACCAACATGCCCCACTGGAGGCATTCATTCGGTTATGTCAAGACGTTTGGAAGACAACAAGCAAGCCACCCGACAGGAAGTCATTCATATTTGTGCTCATTCCAGACAGTGGATCCCACAGAATGTTGAAATTATTGAACAATATCACGAATATTGCACGCAATTAAAATCTCACTGAAGATCGTTCAAAAATGGTTCCAGCTGTATACTGACAGAGAACTTCCATGGTTGCAGGATGGATTCAGTCGGCTGCAAAGGACCTCTTTCAAGTGCTGAGGAGCAAAGATATCTCCTTGAGGACTAAGGTGCCCCTGACACAAGCCATGATATTTTCAATTGCCACATATGCATGTAAAAGCTGGACAATGAATTAGAAAGACCTGTTCTTCTTGTTATGTGCCATCAAATGAGCTCCCACTTGTAGCGACCCCTGCTTGGGTTTCCCAGGCAGTATCATTATGGAAGTAGATTGCTCAACCTGCCTTCCGAGGAGTGGCTGGTGGGTTTGATCTGCCAGCCTTCTGGTTAGCAGTCAAGTGCCATGGGCACTATGCTACCAGAGCTCTTAAGGAACACCTAAGAATAATTGGTGCTTTTGAGACATGCTGCTGGTGAAGAATGCTGAAAGTACCCTGAACTGCTAAAAGAGCTAACAGATCTGTCCTGGAGGAAGTGAAGCTGGAATGCTCCTTGAAAGTGAGAATGGCCAGACTTCATCTCACCTACTTTGGTCATTTTGTCAGGAGGGACCATTCCCTGAAGAAGGATGTCATGCTTGGTATGATGGAGGGTCGTTGAAAGAGGGGAAGGCCTTCAACTAGATGGATTGACACAGTGGTTGTGGTGATGGACTCAAGTATAGCAAGGATTGTGGAGCTGGCTCAGGACAGGGAGGTGTGTCATTCTGCTGTGCATTGGGTCGTTATGACTCAGAAATGACTCGATGACACCTAACAACAACAATAACAACTTTCACACAAGGGGACAAAGAAAATATTCTTTATTTCAAAGAAGGGTTAGAAATAAGTCCTGTTCCTTTAGAGTACAGGCTGTAAGTCCCTGGGGTCACCCACACTGCCTGAGAGAAAGCAGAGTCTGAGTGAGGCAAAGGAGGCAGTAACAGCCCTTTTACCCTAGAGGTGCACATCGTTTTGTTAGTGGGGGTGGGGGATCCTCTTTCAGCCAGCAGCTTTATCCAACCCTGGGAGTGAATAGAGGGAGAATTTTCTGACATGTCCATGCTAGAGACACCAACTAAATGCATCCACATTGAATGCAATTCCATGAAAGACTCAGAGAGACACATTGGAAGCCCTACTGAATCCTAATCCCATAGAAAATATGTGATAGTAAATGTTGTTGGCTAACATCTTTAAGGTACTGGGCCATTCATTGGGAGCCCTGGTGGCATAGTGGTTAAGCCCTTCACTGCTAACCAAAAGGTCAGTTGTTTGAACCCACCAGGTGCTCTGTGAAAGAAAGACATAATAGTGTGTTTCTGTAAATTATAACCTCCGGGATCCGGCAGACAAATCTACTGACTGGTGTCCAGTCGGACCCAACTCATAGAGACCCCTTCTTGGGTTTGCAAGGCAGTATCACTACGTAAGTAGATTGCCCCATCTTTCTTCTGAGGAGTGGCTAATGGGTTTGAAACGCCAGCATTTTTGTGAGCAGTCAAGTGCCTTAAGCACTACACTACCAGAAATAGAGCTCCCTCTCTATAGGTCACTATAATATGAATTGACCTGACAGCTATAGGGTAATACAATTTAATAATGCCTGATACCTCATGAAATTGAATTAAAAGTGAATATATCATATAATTATACATTTTAAGTGTTTTATATTCATTATATTAAACTTGCATTTATACAAAAAGAGTTTTCACAACCATTCATTTTCTTGGGATCTTGTTAAACTTATTTAGAAAATATATCAACTTTCAAATTATCTCTTGCCTCTGTTGCAAACACAATGCCTGGACCCTTGAATGCTTTCATTATGAAAGTATTTGTGTAATTCTTTACACACCCCTGTCCTAGTGAGTTTAGGGAGCTCTGACTCTTCAAGGATACAAGAAAATAATATTGTACTGTGATCACTAAGATAAACAGAAACATCCCACTCACCAAGGTTCTTCCCTGAAAACTCAGGAGTGAAAGGAATCTGGGTAAATTTCAGGGAACATCCTCCAGACATGGCTGTTTTCCACATGCATGTAGTATTCAGAGTGTCACTGGATATATGTATACTCCCAAATCCTTCAACACTGTGTGTCTGTATCTTATTCACACCCCAGCATTAACTGAGCACAATCACCATCAGCGACGGAAGTCACCATTTCCTCTGGATAGTCACCTTCTCCTGACATGTGGCCCACTTCAGTGTTCTTTCTATTAGGGCCATAGAGACAAGTGGACCACTGAACTGCAGGATGGCCACGTGAACCCAAGCCCTTCTCACAGTTTCCCTCTTTTATGTATGGGGATCCCACATGCAAATATCTCTGCCAGCCACAGCTAGAAGAAGGTGTTTAGCTTGGGAAAGTCTGTGTGATTTCTCAGTGTGGACTGGAGTCTGGGGAAGACAGGGCCCTCCAGGAGGAAAACATGGTGTGGCCGTGTATCTTTCTATGTCTGGTGGCTGCAGCTCCAGGTGAGATTTTCCATGATTTCAGAGATGAGAATTTGGGGTGTGATGTCTGCCTGTGACCCACTGTGGTTGTCCTTGTCTCCAGGTGTCCTGTCCCAGGTTCAGCTGCAGGAGTCAGGCCCAGGTTTGGTGAAGCCCTCGCAGACCCTCAGCCTCACCTGCTCTGTCTCTGGATTCTCCATCACAACCAGTAATTACTGTTGGAATTGGATCCAGCAGCCCATGGGGAAGGGGTTGCTGTGGATTGGGAAGATATGTGCTAGTGGTAACACTTACTACAGCCCATCCTTCAAAAGTCGCAGTTCCATCTCTAGGGACACAGGCAAGAAACAATTCTCCCTGCAGCTGAGCTCCTTGACTGCTGAGGACACAGCTACGTATTACTGTGTGAGAGACACAGTGAGGGGAAGTCAGTGTGAGCCCAGACACTAACCTCCCTGAAGGGGGCACAGGGGGACTGAGCATTTAGAGGGACCTTGGGAACATTTAGCAGTGTGAGCACTCAAAGACAGGAAACAGATGTTTGCATACAGAATAAGAGAATTTTGGAAGTTTTTGTTTTTTATCTCTGAAATTTGTATTTTTTCTCCTGGTACGGTTGGTTTTCTCGTATAAAATTCACTTCCTGCCTTAGGGACTGCTATTGGCCTCATTATTTAAAAAAAAAAAAAAAAACATTTAGTTTTCTTCCAAAGAGTAAAATATTAAAATCATACACTGGAAAAGGGTCTTACATCAAGATTATATAAAAACTCCTTTAACTCAAACAAGAGAAGACAAACTAACCCAGGTAAAAATTGGTAAGCTTTGGGATAAAATATTTATTTGCAATGAAGACATGAGAATTGTTGATACACAGCTGAAAAGGTATCATCTTCGGTCTTTAGGAAAATGGAAATCACGGCCACAATGATTACCTCTACTACCCAGTTAGATAGTGATAGTGGAAATTAGAAGAGGAAAAATAGTAAGTGTTGGTGCGGCTGTGGAGAAATTGAACCCTGGTCTCTTGCTGAAAGAAATGTGAATTGGCGGAAAAGGATGACACATTATTTATTCATCTGCTCTTCATCCTGCTGAGAGTACCACATCCCTAGAGTTTTGGGGATTTCTGAGGGAAGGGCACCTGAAACTGGACTGATGGGATCAACAGCATTTATTGATGACACATAATGACAGCCCTGGGAAAGAGGACACTGCAAGCCATGCAGTGATACAAGGAGTTTCCGTTAGAAAATGGAAAGAACAAATAGGAGCTGTGGGAAGCAGCATATGAGATGCTTCAACAAACACATGCAATACTGGAAACACTTCCTCGGCCGAATCAAGGAAGTTGGAGGAGAACTAACTGATGAACTGCCCCATAGGATTTCCAAGTGTGTAAATGTTTATGGAAGCAGACCACCTCATCTTTCTACCTGTATTGGCTTGTAGGTTTGAACAATTGACGCATTGATTATTAGTGAAATGCTTAGCCAGTACACTCAGAACTCCTAAAGACCTCTCTAGTATTTAAGAAACCTACAGATGTCACTTTGATGACTAAAGTGTGTCTGACACAAGCCATGGTCTTTTGTATCATGTCATACATGAATGGAAGCTGGAAAATGAAAAATATTACAGAAGAATTGAAGAATTCCAATTGTAATGCTGGCTATAGATATAGATATAGATATATTGAAAACACCATGGATTTCCAGGCAAATGAGCAAATCAGCCCATGAAGAAACACAACTAGAATTTTTTTTTTTTTTTTTGTAATTAAAGACGGGAAGATGTTATCTCACATACGTTGGACATATGACTGCGAAAGATCAATGACTTGACAGTGGTATCATGTTTGTCGACTTAAACGGTGAGGAAAAGGTGAGGACCCTGCATGAGATGGACTGATACAATAGCAGCATCAATGGAGTCAAACATGCCAGGGATCATGGGGATGGTCAGGACCAGGCACCCTCTCATTCTGTAACAAGGTCGCCATGAGCCAGAGCCAACATGATAGCAACCGATATCAACAAAATGAGAGGGAGACTTTGTAGTAACAGGACGGAGGCTTGCATCCCTAGTTATTCCCACTGGATAAAATCATTAAATTGTTTGAATTATACCTGACCTTGGCAATCCCCTCCTGAGGGATAGATAAAAGCTTTTCTGGAGATGTAGCTTGGTTAGCGGATTGTATTCAGAGGAGCAGAGCTGAGGACATCTTGCAAGGAGGCCATTCAAGGCCCTCTGGATTTCTCCAGATGTAAATTAAGCACATACTATTAGTCCTTGCGTATTTTCCAATGAGACACGAATGTGGTGGGGACAACATGTGTGCAACCTGAAGAGAAGAGGGGAAACTTCAGGCCCCATGGTTGATGGAGTAGAGGGACCATGCTAGAAAGTGTTAGAACAGACTCAGACCACGGAAGTATGTGTGAGAGAAGTTTTGGTAAACAGAAATATATTTCTGCTGAGACAAGTTAGTCCTTAGAATAAACTGAACTTGTGCCATTCTCCATCTGTTACTGAGTACCGCTGTTCCCAGATGAATAAATTGCAATCAGAGTTGTATTAAAATGAAGAGCTCATGCCCACTCACTCCCTTTTCAGAACCTTGGGTGTTTTGTTTTAGTAGCAGCTCATGTCCAGGTTCCCTGCAGAGTGACCCTCCATACCCAACACCCGTGACCATGCTTCACTCATAAGGATACATTTTTCATCTCAAACGTCCCACAAACCCCTGCCTGTTTCTCTTTTTCTATATGTGTTTTCCAGGTTGATGATGCTGACATACAACCCTTTTATGCCCAGCATCATTGAAGTGCCTGAGGCTGGTGTCAGACACCTTGTCCACTATGTCCATAATACCCTGAATGTAGATTTTGGAAGGGAAACGGTCATTTGTCCTGGTTCAGTCACTGATAATTCCTCAGTGCAGATGAATCCTTGTGTGAGAACAGCTCTCAGAATTTGTAAGTAAATGAGAGAAAGAAGGATCAAATCTAACCCGACAGTTTATTTACTCTTGGAAACTGTGATTGATGTAAGATTGCAACAACTGGAATATGGAGAAGTTCTTCACTGAAGCCCATATCTGTTGTTCCCATCACACCCTCACCTGTCACCTGCTTTCACCTACTCTGCTGCAGGATTTGGTTCTGGAGAAACCCTTTGTGGAGATCTAGACACCAGAGCTTGCAGGATTTTGACTAAGACTGAAGACCATCTCCAGAAGGCTGCCCCTTCCTCATCATCCTCCAGGTGGGTCTTCCATTGGGTCAGTGACAGGGACATGGAATGGGTCACAGCAGATTCACAGGGAGACGGGTTGCTCAATGTGCTCATTTCCTTTTGTCCCAGGGGCCCTGTCCCAGGGGCAATTGCAGGAATTGGAACCTCAGGCAGCAAGGCCTTCACAGACCATCACCCTCAGATGCAGCATCATTGGTGACTCTGTCCCCAGCAACACTGCTAATTGTGATTACATCAGGCTATCCCCAGGAAGAGACCTTGAATTTATGGGAAGGATCTATCATAGGCCACAGTGGAAAAGAGGTTGCATGCTGTCTCTACAAGGACAATTAGTCATCAAATCAGACACATCCAAGAGCCGGTTCTCACTGCAGATGAGCACCGTGACTCCTGGTCCATGGCTCAGTATTCCCGTGCAGGAGAATCACAGTGAGGGTGGCAGTGTGAGCAAAAACATGAACCACCCTGCAGAGCAGCAGGAGGGACTGGGCTGCAGGGGTTCTGAGAGCAGCAGGTGGAGCACAGGAGTAAACAATGCAGGACCAAGGCCCAGGAGCCTGTGCTAATTTGAGCAAAGACGGAGTTCCTGCTGCTTCTTTCCTTCCAAATACCCAGCAATAGATACTCAGGGGAAAAAAAAAAAAAAAAAAAGCTCTAAATGTCCTTTTCAGGAACTCTAGTATCTGGAGCATATTCTGGTAACTTCTAATAAAAAATAATACAGTAAAATATGTGAAATTCTGTACCGGTGTAGGGTAGAAATCTATCAAAGTAAAAAAAAAAAAAAAAAAAAAGCACAAATACTTTCTAAAACAAGTGGTATAAAGGTGATAATATTGCACTCTGTCAAAGACAGCAAACATGGGGAAAATGGGGAAAAAAGACAGTCCCATCAGATTCCAGCTCTCACAGGTTTCACTGTATGTTGTTCCCGGCAATTTGTAGTGGAGTGTACACAGGCATCCGTTCCTTGCTAAGTCAACTGGGATGACTTCTAAACAACTCCTAGGAGGACTGCACATAAGTAACATCTTACTGAAGATAATTCAAAAATGTTGCAGCAGTATATTGACAGAGAACTTCCAGAGGTGCAAGCTGGATTCTGAAGAGGACATGGAACAAAGGATATTAGTGCTGATGTCAGATGGATCTTGACTCAAAGCAAAGAATACCAGAATGATGTTTACTTGTGTTTTACTGACTATGCAAAATCAATTAATTGTGTGTATCACTTGTATTTTATTGACTATGCAAAATCAATTAATTGTGTGTATCATAACAATGTGTGGATAACATTGAGAAGAATGGGAATTCCAGAACACTTAATTGTACTCATGAAGAAACTGTACGTAGACCAGGAGGCTGTCGTTCAAAAAGAACAAGGGACACTGCATGGTTTAAAATCAAGAAGGGAGTGTGTGAGGGATATATCCTTTCACCATACTTATTCAATCTATACGTTGAGGAAATTATCTGAGAAACTGGAGTGTATGAAGAATGTGGCATCAGGATTGGAGGAACACTCATTAACAACCTGCAATACACTGACAACACAACTTGGCTTGATGAAAGTGAGGGTGACTTGAAGCACTTACTGGTGAAGATTGAAGACTCTAGTCTGCAGTATGGATTACCTCTCAATATAAAGAAAGCAAAATTCTCACAAATGGACCTGTAGGCAACATCACAATGAATGGAGAAAAGATCAAACTTGCCAAAGACTTCATATTGCTTGGTTCTGCAATCGCCCCCTACAGAGGCAGCAGTCAGGACATCAGATGATGTATGGCACTGGGCAAGTTGGCTGCAAAGGACCTCTTGCAGGTGCTGTGGAGCAAAGGATGTCTCCCTGAAGACTAAGCTGAGCCTGGCACAAGCCATGATATTTTCCATAGACTCATATGCATGCGAGAGCTGGACAATGAATAAATAAGACCAAAGAATTGATGTTTTTGAGTTGTGGTGCTGGCGAAGAATGCTGAAAGTACCATGAGCTGCTAAAAGAACTAACACATCTGTTCTGAAGGAAGTGCAGCAGGAATGCTCCTTGGAGGCGAGAATGGCCAGACTTCATCTCACCTACTTTATTTAGTCATGTTGTCAGAAGGGACCATTCCCTGCAGAAAGATGGCATGCTTAGTCATGTGGAGGGTTGATGAAGGAGGGGAAGGGACTCAATGAGATGGATT